TTAAAGCAATACTGGCGACTGAGTCCAAGACCTTCAGCTATGTCCCCAGACCTTTTATGTTTTATTTTGAGGCAAGGACTTAAATTGTACAGGCTGGATTGCACCTTGTGATCATCACCCCCGCAGCCTCCCAGAGTGCTGAGATCACAGGTGAATGCCACTCCATCTGGCTTATCTATATGTTTTATATATATCCTGTAGTCTACTATAGATAGCAAATAGTATTCAGTCAAGTATCATGTATCTGCACCTTTCTTTTCAACCTCAATTACACCTTATAGGATATATAGAGAAGATATAGCTCAGTGGCACAGTGCTTGCCTGGCAAGCGTGAGGTCCTGAGTTCGATTCCTGATCACACACAAACAAAGAAATGTTACTGGGATAATGAGCCCTTACCTAGCCCAACTTCATCCTGTTAGGAATTACCAAAGCCGAGCAAGGTTAGATAACTCATTCAGAGTCACACAGCTCATCCACAGAAGAGTCAAGAAGGAAACAGAGATGGGGTGGTGCCTCAGAGAGGGTTCTTTCCATGATAGATGATGATATTTCCACCAGCTGACTGGATCAGGCAAACCAAGGGCTCTTGGCATCATCCAGTTAGCCAATTCTGCCGTTTTCAGGTGGTGGAAATCTTTCCTGGCCATGCAAGAATCACAGGTCTAAAGAATAAGGGAGATTTCATAGTCTTGTCCTGAGAAAGAGCTGAAGGGCCCTTGGGTCACCATTTTTGACTGAATGTCTGAGGTTTGGGTTGAGATCCTGCTTAATGCCAGCCCACACTGGCCACTTTTAGGCTGCTGCCAAGGGTGGAGCCCCAAGCTCCAAGCACGCTGTGCAAAGTCCAAGACATTTAGCAGCTGAGAAGAAAGCATCACAGAGGATGCAGGCCACTGCTTCTTCCCCCTTAGACTCAATAAATCTCATGCCCTTCAGGCTGGTTCCATCATCAGTTATCATGACAACGCTCACATCTCGGTTAACCACACCACTGTGGAAGAGCAGCGGTGTGGATAATGTAAAAGTCATTGCTTTCTGGCATTAGAAAGCACAATAATGAATTTTTACCAACACTTAATTATGTTCTACAGAAGATAATATTAGAAAAAAACAGTGCTTGCCTTCCCTGAGCACATATTAACTGATGATAATGTGAGAGGAGCTGAGTTGGGAAAAGAACCAGACTTTAAACATTCATTATAGGTACTTATGGAGTGATAATCCACTCCCAAAAAAGATTCACTCAACAAACAGTTCATGGGGGAAGGGGTGGCCCGAAGTGTGTGGTAGTCACACTTGTGTGTGCTGGGAGTGGAGACAAGAGAAGGAGTGGCAAACATAAAAAGGAATCTTGGTACCCATCCTAAGGAGCGTCGCAGTCTCATGCAGTGGGTGGTGGTAAACAACTCACTACAACTAAGACGGAGAAATTCACTCTGGAAGCCCAGAAGAAGGAGAAGACTGATCTTGGGGAAGCTGGGAAGACTGCCTGATGAGGGCAGTTTATAGGTGCACCTGAAGGTAAATCCTAACGGAGGTCTGGTGAGGTGGCAGAAGACTGTAATCCCAGTATTCTCACAGGCTGGCAGGAGAGGGTCAGATGGCAAGTTTTAGTCCAGACTGGGCAGCTGAGTGACTTAATGAGAACCTGTCTCAAATTTAATAATAACAATAATAATAGGGCCAGGGATTTAGCTCAGCGGTATAAGTGCCTGCATAGTGAGCACAAGATCATGAGTTCGATCCCTGGTACCAGAAAAACCCCAAAAAACAAAGTAATAATAAAAAGCTCTAGGGATGCAGTTCAGTGTCAGAGCCCTGAGTTCAACCCCCATTACCACAGAAAGAAAGACAGACAGACAGACAGACAGACAGGAAGGAAGGAAGAAAGAAAGACACAGAGAGAGAGAGAGAGAGAAAGTTGGGCTGCCCAGGGAACAGTGAGGGTATGTGGAAAGGTACCCCAAACCGGTATGCTGGGATGAGAACTCCAGAAAGGAAGGAGACCCTCTTAGCTTGCTTCCTCAGAGCAAAAGCCAATGTTGTCAACCCCAACACCCCTTGCCATAGGCTCCCTGCTTGGCTCTCTACAAGACCGTTCTTGCCAAGGTTCTCCTGAAACAAGTTTCTTTCCATCCACCATTCCTGACAGCTAAAAAAAAAATTCATCTTAGGGAAAAAAATTCCATCCTGGCCACAGCAGTCTACTTTCACCCCAAACTTAATTCAGCACTAGTTTCCCTGGGATTCCCAGACCTGGGACTTTTCCTACGGGGCGACTGTTGTGTTTGGGGCCTTTCTCTTAGCCAGCGGCCCCTCCAAGCCCTTCCAATTTGCTGCTGTTTTCAAACCTGAGGGAAAAAGATGGAGAGAGGCAGCTCCCTCTGCCTCCGGCCTCTTTCCCTAGCTCTGCTAGTTCTGCGGTTAACGCTGGGCAATGATCCTACAAGCCTGGAATTTGAGGAATTTCCTGCTCTGAGTTCCCTGGAAGAGCTGAGAGAGACCTAGCAATTAGGCCTGGAGTTTCCACTCCTGCCTCCCTCCCTCCCTCCACCCAAGTTAAGTGCCCTGAGTGTAAAGCTCGGTTGAGGGGGCCAGCTTGGAGCTCAGCCTGGGTGCCTGGATGTGTCTACGGCTTTCACATTCAGCATGAACGTCACCCTACCAAGTCGCCCCCATCACCGCCACCTCCCTCTCCCTCCTCCCAGTCACCCAAAACTCAGCCAAAATGCTCCTTTGCCTGCCTGCCTGCGAGTGTAATAATAATAATACAGGACATACGCGGAGTTCATTCCTCCCTGAATCCATCTCGCCCTTCTGCAGTTGTCTAAGGGTAACTCCGTGCCTTTCCCCCCCTTCCTGTCCTCCTCCTCCAGCACTCTGGAGGCTAAGCTATGTCTCAGCTCTTTATTCCTCCTCCCTTCAGTGTGCTGTTTGTTCTTTGGTCTTTTGCCCCTTCTTTCTCGTTTCCCCTTTGCCTAGAGGTTCATCGTGTACTGACACCTCTGATTCGTTGGGAGGCTGCTCCAAGGGCCAGATCCTCTGGGCCTCTACTTCTTTGGTCCAAGGGACAGACATGGGATTAGGAATGGGAAGATGCTCCCAAGCTGGCTAAATGACCCTTATGTAACTTCTGTAACAGCAGAAGCAAATTTCTCTTTCTAATTATGTTTTGTTCAGGCTAATATTAAAATGGGTTCATATTCTCCCATGACACATCAATCGATGGCTGGATACCAGGTGCTGGGGCAAAAGCAATCTGGGATTTAAACACTTGCCACAACTTGTTCTAAAGCCAGTCCAGCTGTGCCATCAGCCTGGTCCCCTGCGAATGCAGCATCTCTATGGCCTTGAGGAAGACCAGCTCCCCCATCTCTGTCCTCTGTGCTCCCCGCTGTCCAGCTGTACAGTTTTGGGTTTGACTTTTTGTCTAGTTGTCCCATTCTCAACACCCTTCAGCATGTCCCATTATACATCAGGTTTTCTCTTTCCCTTGTATCAAGGGACATAACTGACTCTGGTGTGCCCAAAGCCCCACACAGGCGCTGGAAGCCAGCTCTCTGGCACCTCTCCTCTCTGCCCATCTCACGCACCCCCTCACACTCCATGCCCAGGTGGCCCCCGATTCACCCCTCAAGGTCTATGGCCACACTGCCCGCAGATCCCTCAGGGTCACCAGCCTCCCACAGCCCAGCTTCACACACTTGCTCATCCCCGCCTCTGCGTAGGCTGGACGGCTGGGGGACCAGCAGGCCCAGGCCTTCCTTGCAGGCTTCCTCTCAGCCATTCACTCTTGGCGATTCTGACCCAGGGTGAAGCTAAAATGGCAGTTTCCTGCTTCCCCTTCCTTCTGCCCCCAGTTCTTCCTCTCAGCACATTTTACCCGACTGAGAAGGCCCGGGCCCGGGTTAAAAAGGAAATCAAAGCTCTTCCCTGACTTCAATGGAAATGTTCACTATCTCCAGATTTCCTTCAACTCTCAAGATACGCGTCTTCTGAGGGTGCGAGCTGCCAGCTTCCCCTCCCCCCACATTCCCTTTAGACAAAGCTTTTCTGTCAGGGTTTTGACCCTTATGAAGATTTTCAACTGGTATCTTTTTCTCCCCCTTTTCCCCCCTTTCTCTCTAATTCTGAAGGATCTTTTGTCTTCTAAGGAAAAGAACTGAGGGATTGGAAGGCTGCTTTTTTTTTTTTTTTTGCCCTTGTAAGTAATTGGGGAAGTTGTGGTTTTTTTTTCTAAAATGATAGAAAGGGAAAAAACGTATTTTCCAAATTTTATTTTAAAAAAATTGATCCAGGCCTTGAGAAGGTGAAAAGGAAAATGAGATTTTTGAAAGGGAAAGAGAGGGCTGGGGATATAGCTCACTGGTAGTTACTGGTTTAGGATTCCCTCCCAAGCACTGCAAAGGAAGGAAGGAAGGAAGGAAGGAAGGAAGGAAGGAAGGAAGGAAGGAAGGAAGGAAGGAAAGGGGAGAAGAACGGAGGAAGGGAGGAAGGAGAAGGAGGAAGAGAGAGGGGAGGGAAAAGATAACAGAATATCAGAAAGTTGCAAAGACCTTGAGGGAAGAAGAGAAGAGATGCCTATTATCTGGACTGTGCATGCCTTACTTACCTAGAGGTAAGAAAAACTAGAATCTCACTCTGAGCAGTAAGGGCAGCTCGCAGGGGCTCGGTACAGCCACAGCAGACACACACTAAAAGCCGAGGTATAGTAAGAGCTCAGGGAATGTGGGCCTTAACAAAACAGGACTGCCATGGTTATCTTCCCTTTTTGTTTTCTCCCAGGAGAAAGATGAAAGGTTGGTTGGAAATCAGCCAGTGACAAAGCCACAAAGACCCCGGGGCCAGCCTCACCTGAGTGTGGACGGTTTGTGTAAGGCTGGTGGGCACAGCAGCCTCCTCTCTTATACCCTTCCGTCTTCCCTAGGGTTATTCCGTCCCTCCTGTGGCCAGGGAAAACTGATCTAAGGAAGTGCTGTCGGCTCTCAATTACTCACGCACAGGTTCTTCGCTTTGGAGGCTGTCCATGGAAAAATCCTAATCCCAGGCAGGCTGAGTCCCTTTGCCACCCAGGATGTCTCGGTTGTCAGTCTTGGTGTGAGCAGGGAATTAGAAACTCATTTAAATAGCAGTCCGAGTCAACCCTAATAAGCAAGGCAAATCTGATTATTATCATTATTATTATCACCATGATGGATTCCAAAGTTTGAACCAAAAAAAGAAGTTTAAAAAAATCAGGATAGCCGGGTGTTAGCCATGAGAAAACTTCCCCTTGTACTGGGTCCACTGGGTGTTATCTATATTTACAGACGGCCTTTAATCTGGACAGATCTCGGCAGCCTCTGGACCATCTTTACAGGGCTTCTGAAGGAAGATTAGAGACCATTCATATTATTCGTTTACTTAAAATAGCGGCTGACATTTTCATTGCTGTCTTACTATTTGCCAGACACTATGAAGTATGTTTTACATAACTTAACTCATTTAATTACTTCACTTGTTCCATGAAAGACTTGAAGCAAAGTATAAGGGCAATGATATAAATGTATTTGGTCAATGACACAAAAAGTAAGTTAAAAGAAGAATCTAAACCTTGGGTGGAGAAGGTAGGAAACCAGAGAACGAGAACAAGGAAGAAGAAATACACTGAGATGGAAGTAAAGTTAATAAACTATAAGCTTTACGTGAGATTCTAAATGCTGCATCAGAGATAAACCACACTGCTCACTGTTGAGTCTCCAAGCAGCCAACGCAAAAATGGGAAAATTCAAAATTCATGGCACAATTTATAGGGCCTATAAAATAAAAACCAACTGATGGCTTAGGAAAAGTACTACCCCAGAACTTCCACCTCCTCATAAAAGGACGCCGTGATGTTCTGAACCTTATCCTACACAACAATCCCTATCATAAACACCATGAGGAGTTTCAGAGGGCTGGTGCTCAGAACATTCCTCAAGACAGGCTGGTGGCACTGTGCCAAATGCTCAGCTCAGTAAAAGCAATTCCTGCAGGAGCCAAAACCAGTCTCAGTTCGAGACTGTCTGCCTGTCTGGCTTAGTCTGAGGATAAAACTGAGAGAATCTGCAGGAAAGAACTGGAGAGGTGGGTGATGACCATGGGAGGGAGAGCTGCAGACATAAAACAGGACTCTTCCAACTTAGCAGTTTTAGGCCCCAGCTCAGAGCTGCATCCTGAGATGAGAGGGAAAAGGACAAGCGGGCCTTCTCTGATATTCACGATGTCTCGGGAGAGGCGTCTCAAGGTAGGGGAGGCAGCCCTGGAAGGATTATTCCCCTGAGGAGATGACGTAAGGGAACAGCTAAGCTAGCTGTTGGGATGTCTGGGGTGGGAGGCAGGTGCCTGAGTGAGAATAATTTTAAAAAGAAAGAACTTTGGCACTAAAAAGAAAGAAAAAAATCTGTAATCTACTCTGTAGAGTATACCTAACCCCCAAAATACCAGCTTAGCTTTCGGCCATACTGAGGCTTGAGAAGATTAGCCTGGAAAAACTCCTTAGAGGCATTGACAGAGGCATCAGAGGTGGCGCTCAGCACAGCTAAGCAGCCCCCAACACAGCACCAGACCAGAAGGCCCGTCCCCGTTGGAGGACCAGGCATCTCCTCAGAGCAGGGGCTGCAGGGTGGCGGACACCCAGGGGAAGAGCACCTTGACCCTGGAAACAGCCAGCGCACAGAGTGATGGCTCCGCTCTCCATCGCGGGCTCAGTGTCCACAGATCTTCCGTGTATCTGGCTGAAGTTACTCTCCCCTACGAGCACCAGATTTTTCTAATAGTGAGGGAGAGCAAACTTGTCCAACCTTAGTCTGAGGAGCTGGGCTGGCGTGAGGAGGGCAGTCCCCACTGAAGGCCAGATGAGAGGGACGGCTGGGGTCCCCAGCTGCTGCTTTGAAATCCTCAGTCTTGAGTGAGGGAAAGGAGTGAAGGGTGGGAGAAGGCAGAGGTAGAAGTGGGCCGGAATCTCAGGCCCAGTCCCCTGACAATGGGCAGGAGTGTGGAACCTGCAGCCTGTTACTTAATTATCTCTGAATGGTTTTTGTTCCTGGCTTTAAACATTTACCCCTATTGGGTTTTCACGGCTTCACAAGCTCTCTATCTCCTTTTCTTTGCCGTTGCCATAGCAACAACTCCAGGCGTACAACTGCTCTCTGATTTTAAATAAAAGTTGAGGTCTCTCTCTCTCTCTCTGTGTGTGTCTCCTCCCCCTCCCTCTTCTCTCTTACCAGGGATGAGCTTTCTCTCTCATCTCCCCCTTCCTTTCACCTTCCTCTCCCAGTCTCCTTTTCCCCCACCCAGCCGTTTCCTTATCATCACCTCCTCTCATTTCTTCCTTTCACCTGCCTCCTCTCTAAACCCTCTCCCATATCTCCCTCTCTGGGTCTTCCAGGCTGGTCCTAATCCCCTGGTTACCATGACAGCAAGAAGGGGTCCTCAGAAGAGATGGGGCAGAGGTGGAAAGGAAGGGCCTGTCTGGGGAAGGTGGGGAATCTGCTGACAGCCCCAGGAGTGGCGTTATCCTATATCCTCACCGACCTCTCTGGGCCTCGAATCTCCCAGAGATTAATGGATAGCAGTCCCTTGTGTCACCCCCACCCTGCCCTGAGAAAGGGCTTTCCGACTCAAGCCCTGGTTGGTGGAGAGGGCACTGAGGAGAGCCTAGGAGAAAGTGTTTCTCCAGGGTGCGAGGGCTGGCTGAGAGAGGGGGGCTAACATGCAACTTCCAGCTCCCATCCCTCTCTCGGGCAGGGAGTCATTTATTTGTTACAGTCAGAGGGTTAGGGTTAAATCTATGATTCTCAACTGTACTTGAAGGTGCCCTAGGCCTCTAGGCAGAGAAGTCCCAGCAGCTGCTGCAAGGAAGCAGATGTGCCTGAGGAAAGAAGCCAGGAGGGGCAGCAGCACTTGGGATAGGACGCTGTCCTCGGTGACATCACGTGGATGTGGCTTTTACCGGCCTAGAGCAGAGACTTGCTGGATCTCCCAACAATCCTCACCCCAAACTTGAACTGTTCGGGGAGGAACAGAGAGCCTCCATCCATCCATCCCACCAAAAGGATCATCCAGGTAACTCTCTGCCACCTTCTTCTTTCCAAGTCCAAACCTTGGAGAGACAGGTAAGCTATCACTTGCGGGAAAACCATCATTTTTAAAATTAATGCACATTTTCAGTACATGTTCACACTCCTTGTGTGGAGGTGACACATGTATACAGCTCATCATAATTTCTGTTTTCATCCCCTTACCTTGCCTTCCCCTCCCTCCATCTTTCAATCTCTTCTCATTTGAGAAAGTATATTGTCTATCTTTTGTTTTGCTCTTTATTTTGAATTTTTCATGTAAGAGAAAGCATGTTATATTTACGCTTGGGTGTCTGGTTTCATTTCACTTAATATTATGGTCTCAAGGTACAGTACTAACGAAATCAACGTGGAGATTCCTCAAAAAACCAAAATTAGAAATTCCATTTGACCCAGCTATTCCCCTTTTAGATAACTTCCTGAAACAATTAAAGAGATTACATTACAATGAAACATGCATACCCATGTTTACAGCACACAATTCACTAATAGCTATATCATGGAAGAAGCCTGTATGTCCATTAATAGACGAATGGATAAAGACAGTGTAGTATCCACACACACAAGGAAGTACTACTATGCCATAAACATAAACTTGAGTCATCTGTAGGAAATCTTGTCATTCTAAAATGGGCTAGAGAACAAAATAGTTCCACCTCAAAATAATTCCATCTAAATTCATAATTGTCTCTGAATTTTATCAGATATGGGTCAAGGTTAAATAACTAGGTAAAGAGCTGGATTTGGAGATAGGGCACAGTGCCTGCCTGACAAGCATGAGGTCCTGAGTTCAATTTCCAATACCAAAAAAAGAGCTGGCTGTGGTGGAACATGCCTGCAATGCCAGTACTCTGGGAGGCTGAAGCAATAAGTTTACAAGTTTAACCCCAGCTTGGGCAATTTAGCAATTTATTGAGACCCTGATTTTAGAAAAACGGATGGCTGGAACATCAGAAGACTTATTTTTGGTTCCACCTTTTCCTCTGGATAGCTCAACGGCTCTCAGGTGTAGCAATTTCACTTTCCAGGGCACATCTGGAAATGCTGGAAGGATGCCGGCTTTTAGTGGTAGAGGCTAGGAATGCAACTAAATGTACTAACGTAGAGGTCAGTCCCCACAATGGTTAGCCGTCTCCATCCTCAGCAAGGCATTCTGACATCAGCTCCAATTTCTTTGTTCACAGACACAGATTTTTATTTTTGTTTTGCTTTGTTTTGTTTGTAGTACTGGAGACAACGCAGGGCCTTCCCACTGAGCTTCATCCTCAGCCCCCTATTTTTTTTTTTTTTTTTTTTAGACAGGATCTTTTTAAATTGTTAAACTGCCAGGTTGGGTTAGAACTTGGGCTCCTCCTGCATCAGCCTCCCCAGAGTGCAGGTATGTTCCATCACTCTGGCTAGATTAGCATTTCACGCTCACCCTTGCACTGAACACACGTCCTAAGCGATGATCCTGTAAGGGTTTTCACCTTACGTTCACCATTCCCACTAATAGGAGAGGCCAATGAAGATCTTATGAATTCTATGTGCTACTTAGAGAAATGGACTTGACTAAAGTCACAAAGAAAATCAAGGAGAAAACGGAACCTGAACCCAGGTCTCCTGATTATAAATCCAAAGTTGTTTTCATTACTCTGCACCATAAAATGATAGGGTTCAACTAAACGACAAGCATACACACCGTACACTTAAAGCACCTCAGACACCATCCCACGGATGGTACACAGATCATCTGATACAGTCCTTGCCATCACGCCACGCTGAAGGTACCCTTCTGGGAGGGGGTGAAGGGAGAAGCACAAGGTCACAGTGCTAGGAGACGGCAGGTCCTCAACTGAAACAGAGCAGTCTTAACCCCAGAACCTGCCCTTCACTCAGAAGCTGAAGAACAAGGTCCTGCCAGCCCTCGGGCCTAGTGGCCTCATTTAACAAGCTCTCCATTTCACAGCTGAACAGACTGAAGCTCCTGGAAGAACAGGAGTTGTCCAGGAAGAAGCTTTTCGAGAAGTGGAGAAATCCAGGTCACCAATTCCTACACCCAAGATCAACTCTCACCTACCCCAGGGAGGTGGGTGGTGGGAAGAGGTAGAAAATGTGCTGTATTAAAACAACAGACCAAAGTCCAAAATCTCCAGAACTGAAGTTGATAGGAAAGTGGTGGTGGTGGTGGTGGATCTGGAGAAAGAACTTGTGGGCAAGGGCTGGGGATTTAGCTCAGTGGCATAAGCACCTGCCTTGCAAGCAGGCAGTCGTGAGTTTGATCCCCGGTACCTATAAAAACGAAAAAGACAAAAAAAAAAAAAAAAAAAGAACTTGTGGGCAGCAGAATGAAACGTTTCCTCCAGATGAAAACTGGGAAAGAATTTGCTGGTAAGGGAGGGCTGGGGTCTCAGGCTAGGCAGAGAAGGGGGCTTCTGGACAAGGTCACTGGGATATGCTCACATCCGGCTTTCCTGACCTCCACTTCCCTCTGAGCCTGGCCATTTATCCCCTCCCCTAGCTAACAAGATTCCCTTCAGCTCCCTCACTTTACACACAGCCTGGCTGGAAAAGAAAGGCTGCAACCCGTACCCCATCACCCTCCCTAGCCACCAGCATCCCTAGATTTCAAGACATCTCTGCTGGGTCCAGCCTGTCCCTGAAGAATAGGCAAGGAGACCCCTGCCCCTGCTCCACAAGCCTCAGGAAATGCCTGAATCTGCTCCCACCAGGGCAGTCTTTGAGGAAACCCCAGTGACCCCCACAAAGCACAGCTCCTCTCCCTCTGGGGGCTCCTTAGACACTTAAAGGGCCCTACTCTACAGATGAGGAAAAGAGGCCCCATCTGAGCCCCACCCCGACTCTCAGAGGGGGCCCTGGCAGAGCTTATGAAAAAGCCTAGGGTTTGTTGTTTGTTGGTTGTGTTTTGTTATGAACCAAACATAATCCAGGGCCTTAGGGAACTTGCAATCTGGCTGGAAAACTGAAAGGTCAGTGCTTTAAAACCGAGTGTAAACTGAGCCTGTAAAATGAGCTAAAAGGGAGGGTTAGTTGGGAAGGGCTCTCTGGAGGAGGAAACCTTCCTAGTGCAGGCCCAGTGCAGGAGGCTTGGTGGGGTTTTGGGCTGAAGCTGAGACCTGTAGAGCAGAGCTTTGGGTCTTTACAGTCAGATTCCTGTGAGCTGGGAGTGGGTGGCCCTGGTTTTCATCCCCCTTCCTGCCCCCCCCCCCCCGCCCCGTTCTGGTTGGCCTCTGGGATGATTAAAACCAAAAGAATTTTAAATGTCTGGAATTCACTTTTTCACCACTGATGCCATTTGCTTATTTTCTCTCTCTCTCCCCTCCCTTGTAATTTCTTCTCTTGGGAGAGCTATCTGTTTGCTTCACTCCTTTCTTCTGGCCCAGTTTGCTCTGAGATGATTCCCAGTACACACCAGTTAACTTTTGTTTTTATTTTGGAGGGAGGAGGGAGGGGGCTGGGTGTCTCAGGCAAAGGGGAGGGAGGAAGGCAGAGTGGAGGGGCCTTGATCTTGCTGGCGAAAGTTCCCAGAAAAAGAAAAGAAATAGCTTTCAGGGAAAGACATCTGCCAAATGTTTATGTTCCCACAAGACTCTGCAAAACCTTTTCATAGACCAAAGCTAAAGTTCAGGGTGAAGCCAGAGCATGTTTCTTCAGGGGGAAAACCTTATCAACATGCATGTACAAGCACCCACACCCTTGGTCAGGTCCCCACTTTCCCAGCAGGCCTGGCTGTCATCCCCAGCACTGTGTGTGTGTGTGTGTGTGTGTGTGTGTGTGTTTGAGGGCTGGTGGGGCGTCCTGCTGGCCTTACCCCAAGTCCAGCTCAGATCTGAAAACACTACTTTCCATGCAGGCTCCTAAGCAAAGGCTGCTTTTCCTGGGGTATTCCCACTCAGACCTTCTGAAACCAGTGCCCCCAACCACGACTCACAAAATAAACCAGAGATCTGAGGGCCCGTTTGGAAAGTGCTGACCCTTTTGGTGATTCACGTAGGCTGGCGATGAGCCGGAAAACTGAGCAGCCAGGAAGAATCTTGAAGAGTAACCTTCTGGTTTTATGATAAGAAAACAGGCCTAGGTCACTGAGTGAGGCCACTGCACTAGGGGTACAATGGGGTTAGAGCCACAATCCAGGGCTCTTTGTACAATGCCTGCCTAATGTAGCTTTGTCTATGGCAGTGCCCAGGAAACCAGAAGCTGAGTCAGAAGTCACCAGTCTCCTGAGGCTCAGCACGGTTCACCCTTTGGCACAGGAACCCATGGTGGGGAAAGGGAACACTGGTCCTGCCTGGAACTGGTGCCAACATGCTCTGAACTGGAGGCGGCCCTAGCCAGAAGACAAAATTTATCTGTGGAGAGAAAAAGAAAAACTGCCCTGGGACAGAGTGGCTCACGATGTCCCAGAAGCAGTGCAGGGTAAAAATTCTGTTCCCTCCCTCACGGCAGCTTTTTAAGAAACAAACCTGCTTCCTGTGCCTTCTGCTAGGCACAGGCCAGCCATTTCCACACAGTGGTCACAGTGACACTAGCATAACAACAGCTATCATTAGTTAAGCACCTATTATGCACCAGGGACTCTGATTTACAGAGACCAACCGTAAGCAGTCTAAGATTCCCATTTGCCAATGAGGAAGAAACTGAGATTTACCAGTTAATGGCAAAGGAAGTAGTGGGAACCAGTTTACTTCATTCTAAAGACTAAACCCAGCACACCAGGGTCATGGTGGAAGATTCCAAGCGTACAGGGAAAAATGACTCTCTCGTGTTACCCCTCACTTGTGCCTTACACACCTGCAGAAAGAAGCCCAGGCCACAAAGATTTGAAATGAGGGTCAGACACTAGAGGCTGGGGTCCTGGTCTGGCTTTGTCTAATTTACTGGATCAATTTTTTTCTCTTGAGCTTCTCAAACCCATCAGGCAGCTTTGCGTCCTCCACTTATCCCAGGGGTCTAGAGGAGAAGACAAATAGGGCTCATCCTCTTCCTTCCTTTTCTCCTCATGTCTATCCTGTGCTCTGAGCCCATGAGAACTGGGCCCATCCATAGTTAAGATTAAGATCTTTCACTCAGAAGGCTGAGGCAGGAGGATTGCCAGGAGTTCAACCCAGGCTACACAGAGAGATCATATCTTAATTTAAACAACAACCACAAAAAAATAAGACCCTTGAAACCAGATTCAGATTTCTCAGGCAACTTACCCTGCCCCATCACTGTTTTCTCATCTCTGTGGAGCTTTTTCATCTTTAAAGTGAGCCGGTAAGCTTGCTTCAAAATACCCACCAGGCACAGGATGAAAGTACTCAGCAAACGCCCTTCCATGGGATCAAGTCCCAGGCTGTGTGTCCTGCTCACTCTACAGAGAAACTTCCAGCCTGGGTCCCATGCCTGCCGCCACTTGTCCCTATCACAGCCTCTCCCCGCTGCAGTCGACCCACTTCCCAACACCTGGATGCATCAGCTTCTCCTGGGACCCCCAACACTTCTTTCATGCCTAGCTGGGATCCAGAGGCACAAAGCTCAGGGGTACCCGGTCTGCAGGTGGGCCTCCTGCCCACTGGCTGAGCCTGCCGGGACCCTACGTCCTGTTCCCATGAGCCAATGTTCTCCTGTCCCTGCTGCTGCCCTCCCACCCCAGGTCTCTTTCTTCCTCCCTCCTCTCAGCCACTGGATGCCCCACCTTTTCCTCCACCCTGGCTCTGCCCACTCCCCCTCTGCTCTACCTCCCCACCCCCTCAGCTGCTGGCTTGGAGCAGGAGGTTATGAAAATGAGCTTCGTGCCCAGGAGACTGTAATTATCTGCTAAGTGTGAAAGCCAGAGTGATTAATTAAGAGATAATAAAAAGAAAAGGAGGGCGAAAGGGGGGCCTCACGGCTTTGCTTTGATGATGGAACCGGAGGTGAGCCAAGCAATTAGGGGAATCTTTATCGAGAGTTAGCTATAATCCACAAATTATCAAGCACCAAATGCTTCAGGAGCAGGGCGCACTGCACTCTCGGCAAGTGACAGACCGACAGACAGGGAAGGACAGCAGGAGGAAGGGGCCCAGGGAGCACCCGGCAGGCAGCAGCCAGCACAGGAGGGCCTGAGGCTCGGCTGGTGGATGACAGCCGCAGCCTGCACAGATTGTCCCGTGCCAGGCCACAGGCTGCGCATCCAGGACCCCAGGCCATGGTTGTCCATCCTCCTACCCTTGAAAAAGGGCACACTGCCCCTGAACGCGTGCAGGCTGCCCCACAGGCAAGCTCCACACGGCAGCACACTCATAACCCCGTGCCTGTTCCCCCAAAGGCACCGGTCTGTCCTCTAGCAGGAACTGCTTTCTACCCTGTCCTCCAGAGCAGCAGCTGCCTCCAGATGCTTTTGCATCTGGGGAGTGTGTCACACGGCTGGCCAGCGACACACTTGACAAGGTGACACTGGGGCTTGTAGCTCTCAGTGCCTCCAGCCCACGCAGCCCTGGCTGGGCACAAGTCCTACTAGTCCCCACTCCTCTCCCACCAAGTCTCTATCAGTTGCTCTCCTCCACCTCTCATTTCCACCCCACCCAGCCCAGTACCCAAATTCTCTGTGTTCCTCCCAGGGAACCATCCCTACTGCCTCCCTGCTCCAGCACCTCTTTCTACCCTCTTCCCTGCAAAGGCATGGATGGGTTCAAAATTCCCCTTTATGTATATGTTTATGCATTCAGAAGACAGGGTACCCGTCTCATCTATTATAGTTAGCTAGCACCCCATCATGCATGCCCCGTGCTCTCCTTCCTCTGCTCACACTGACTTTGAGTGATGTCACCCAGGCGAGGCCAGACTGAGGGTATCCCTCAGTGAGTCCAAGAAGAAAACATCCCCACTCTGCAGCCTCATCTGGTCCAGGCAGTGGAGTAGGTCCATCCCTCTGAGTCCATTCCCTAATCTACTAGGCTACAGCAGCGGATGCCTGCTTCTCTCAGGGCAGGAAGAGGGCACCTAAGGCCATCACTAAAGATGGTGGAAAGGTCACCAGAGCCCTCTAGACCCCAGCTTCTCTGAGAAACATGGAAGGAGATCTTGAACAGGCAAGGGCATGGTGAGTCAGCCAGGTCCTGTGAACTCCATCCTTCTGACCCTGGCTGGGGAACACTGCAGGAGAACGAACAGCCTTGTTGATTTGCTGGAGAGCAAAACTGACCCTAAGGAGACAACCTTGCTTACTCATGTGGGTGGGGCTTGGGAGGCAGCTTCACCTATGACCTCTGGCCTTACTTAATACAAGCTCTGTCTTGAATCAAGAGAAAATGAACATACTGAAAAAAAAAAATATGTTACTTATCCAGAC